GTCTTTTTTTTTTTTCGTGTCCGGCAACGGATCGCAACCCTCAGTGTCGCGCCCGTACCGGACCGGGACCGGCAACGGGATCGCAAACCTCGGTGCTGCGCCCGCACCTCGCTCAGCCAGTGAGCAGGAACCGGTCTGTATGTGGGATCCGAACCCTCGGCGGGAGTGCCACCACGCTCCCAAGCGGCGCACTGTAGCAGTGCGCCACCGGGCCAGCCCCAATCAGCTGGTTTATTAACAAAGGAAGAAACTGAGGCTCAGGAAGTGACCGGGCCAAGGATAGTAGTAAATAGTAGAACCAGAACTTGAACTTAGCTCCATCTTGCTCCAGGGTAACTCAGTCAACCTGACTCTGCAGAGGGTCAATGTGCATCTGCGGATTTGCAGGGGATTCTGGAGAAACAAATAATCCCATCTAATAATGCTACTTTCCACACCTCTTAGTTCCTTGACTCCCCCCAGAATGCCATGGGCAGAAATGAAATCTAGGAAGAAAGTGGCTTCTCATGCCTGAGGGTATTTTATTTCTGTTTCTGGGACTGATATTTAATCGGTCTAAGGTTCTCTGTAACTACCTACTTACAGCTCTGACTTTCCTGGCCCTAGGGAGAGGTGCTCATTTGTTTCAGGGCACTCTGTTCCTAGAACACTCCAGTCCTAAGTGAAGATATCAAATAAGTCTCATTCATGACCTAGGTCAGTTCTCGTTACAATGAAACCCAGGATTAGGAAACTTTCCATTCTGCTGATTTTCACACCCTAGTGTATGGCCCACTTACTTTGAAAAGTACAATCAAGCATTATTAATTTGAACTTTGATAATTTACAACTGCTGATGATGCTGAAAGCAGATGGAATGGAGTTTACTTTAATTCAACATTTGCAAAAAAACAAGGAAAGAAAGAGAGAGAAAGGAAGAAAGGAAAGAAAGAAAAGAAAAAGGGAGACGTCCATGGCTCTATGTGGGATGCATTTTAGAGAAATATGAGTAAGATATGGCCCATATTCTCAAGGAGTTTACCATCTAGTAATAGTTTTGTAACTATCTAGGAGCATAAAATTTACCTCTTTGGCAAAAAAGAGATGGCTAAAAAGAAAATTATAATAAAGTCAACAAACTAGCATGAGCAGAGAATCATAGCTCCTTGGGCTTGGAAGGTCAACTAAGCCACCACATCTATGTTTTCACAACAAATTAAGGTTTCATTCATTCAACACTCAATCATTCATTCACTGATTCAAGAACTATTTCTTTCATGCTCACCGTGTGCCAGGCCTGGAGCTAGGCACTGATTATTTGTAGAGAGTTCAGAAGTTCACAGAGTTATACACGTGGTCTCATTCATTCATTGCCCCCCCAACCCTTACTGATGAGACATACTATTATTCCTGGGTCACTGCCCTCTATAAATACTATCTGTGCTATCCCCAGGGCTTGAGTCAGTGCTGGGTGAGGACAAATAACTCTCAAATCAACACGCAAAATTGGATGATTCCTCTTCCTCGTCAACCCCATCTCAGGTCCTAGAAGGTAGCTCCATTGATTTTTGCATTAGGGGTCAGATAACAAGGAAGGTGAGACCCCACCCCACCTCTTAGGAAGTGACTCATATCTGTGTGTGCACTGGGAAATGTCCCAAAATGGACATGTGTCCAGGAAATGAAAGGAAACACCTGTAAAGGAAGCCCTTGCCCTCCACCCCAAGGCCCCTAATACAGGTGGAAGTCCCCAGTGCCAAAGCGCATTACCACTGCAGTGAACACCATCATCCGCAAGTTCATATCCTGGGTCACAGCGGCAGATGAAAGAGCCATAGGTGTTGACACAGGTTTGCACGCAGGGATTCTCAGTTGCACATTCGTTTACGTCTGTGGAAAGCCAAAGCACATCACTGACCACCCTCACAGCAGAACATCCACACTAACTAGGCAGAAAAAATGCACCACCAACAAAATCTACTGCCACCAGGAGACCCGATTTGCAGGTGCCAAGGATCTCCTTCCAGGACCTATCAGATCATGATGTCAGTCCCAGAGTGTTCATTAAAGGACCAGGGCCTCCATGCACATGTCAGGAAGTGGGGAAACAACACATACGCATGTGACATATATATATATATATATACATATATATATATGCATATATATATATGCATATATATATACATATATATATATATGCATATATATATATATATGCAAGGACCAGGGCCTCCATGCACATGTCAGGAAGTGGGGAAACAACACATACGCATGTGACATGTATATATATATATATATACACACACACACACCTGCTGATAAGTCTACTCTCCAAGGAGATTCCCAGGCAATACCTGCTCCCTCCCATCACTGCCACATTCCATCACCAATCTGCTCTTCTCTCACCCTCACTGACTTTTTTCTTTGTGACAGGTAAGGGTATCACAACCCTTGGCTTGGTGTCAGCCCCACCGCGCTCAGCCATCCCTATATAGGATCCGAACCCACGGTGGGAGTATCGCTGCGTTCCCAGCCCCGCACTCTCCCAAGTGAGCCACGGGGTCGGCCCTCACCCTCACTGACTTTGAAGTTCCAGGTAAACAAATAATCATAACAACTCTAATAATACATTCATTATGCATAAACAACTTCAGTGATTATAAAAGGATCTCACTCGATCCCTACAACTACTGCTTAGGGACCATTTCACAGGTTAAGTAGGTGAAGGAGAGGACCGTAAAGGGGCACAAGGAATCATGGGATATTCATTATCATGAGTGTGGTGATGGTTTCATGGAGGGGGGGGTAGACATATGTCAAAATTAATGATACTGTGGACCTATAATACTGCAGTTTATTGTTCATCAATTATACATCAATAAAATTGTTTTAACAATTTCAAAGATTGAAAGACATGCCCAAGTCCACAAGCTAACAAGGGCACAGCTGGAACTGGAACATGAGTCTGGGGTCTTTCCCCAATTCCAAGATTCATTCTGCACAGCTCCCCTGTGGGGCAGGGTGAGGAACCTCTTTCTCCACCAGTATTGGCTGACCCTTGACCGTGCTCCATATGCCAATAACAAAAGTTCCAGCTTAGAGATCTTCTTTCCTCTTCAGAAGTCCAGGTAAAGCTTTTTAAATTCTGAATAGAGATTAGAGTGTTTTCAGGGTTAAAAGTCTTCATGGTGAGAAGCTTGAGAGGCTTTTCTTAAAAGGGAGGGCTAACCCCATGCCCACAGAGCTCCTGCTTCCTGGCATTTTCAGAGGAAAAATAAACAGATAAATGAACAGCTGTGTAGGGAGGGTCCAGCAAGATACCAGCCTCCCCTGGTGCCCACAGGGGGTTGGAGTTTCTCCACCCAGGAAGGGGAGAGGGCAGGAAAATGTCCGTGGTGCTAAGCCACTGACTGCAAGTTCAGACAGGACATTGCTTGTGAGGATTAGGGCTGGCGTCCTCGGCTTCTGGCCAGACACTGGCCACACAGAATTGGACAAGGTCAAGTCACCCTCTGACAGCTCTCAGCTGCTTCTGAAGAGCAGGAGGACCAGAATGGTTCTCCACACTGGGGCCCTCACTGCCCTTTCCTGCCAGCCTCTTCCAAATACCCTCGTGAGTCCTCTGGAAGGAGACAGCACGCCTCCAACCTGCTGGACAAGAAGGCGGGGCCCTTGGTTTCACTCTCAACTCTGCCACCACCTGGCTGCGTGACTTTAACCAAGTTGCTTAACCTTTTTGAGACCTGATTTCCCCATCTGTGAAGTACAGCCACAAATACCTGCTTGCCTACCTCACAAAGCTATTGTTTGGATTCAATGAGATTTACAGATGTGGCAACGCTTCGGAGAGGGCAAAGCACTCTTCCACGCACGAGGTGTTAGAACTGCAAAAGCTCAGTGCAGTCTGTAACATCCTGCGCTGCCCTAGGGCCTGCTGATGCAATATCCCAGTGGCCACATGCCAGTGTCCAGGCCTGAGTGCTGTGCCCGGGGCTCTATCACACTGCTGCACTGGCACCTCCAGGTATATTATCTTCTCTTTGTCACAGACCCGTCCCTGAGAGGTCCAAAGGACACATGTGCCTTTTGGCTCTGCTATGCGTCGCAGTTCCTCAGGAGGTGCTGGGTGCACTGTACCAGCCTCTGAGGGAAAACCTGGGCTGGTGCCTACAACCCCTGGCTGTGGCACAAAGAAGCCTGCATCTGCCCTAAGCAGCTTATCACAGTAGCAAGGCAGCCAGGCGCCTGCTTTCTGCTCAGTGGGAAGGAAGGGGCCCTACTCTATCAGCTTCCTCAACCTCCCGGCCCAGCCTCTGCTCTCAGAAGAAAATGACCTCTCCTGGCGAGAGGAACACAGTGCAGACTTCTTGGAACAATTAGCAGAACCAGCTTTGAGGAGAGACTTACAAAGAATCCAGGATCAAACTCTTTAACGCTGGTGCCTTCCTGTTTACCCAACGATTTAGATACGATTAAACTAACGGAGACACAATATCCTCCAACTAGCTGGCCAGGAGCCTGCCAGCCAGAACTCGAATGGTGTGACAAGGAAATGGGCCCTGCAAACCTTGTGGCAGGCTCCAGACAAAGACCTCATTCTGCATCTCTAGTGCTGCCTTCACCCCGGACCAAGCAGCTGCCGGGGACTGGAGGCCCGGGCTGGGGGCCAGGCATGGGGTGGGGCAGGGGGCTGGAACAGGACTCACACTAATGCCTTGGGTCTTAAGTCCCCCACTTACTTCCTGAGCAGAAGAAACCTTCAGATGGAAACCATAATAGGCATGCAGCTTATTTTTCTCACTTATCAGTATTTGAAATGATCATGTGAAAACCAAAAAATGCCTTTTTTCTTTTTGTTTTGGGGGAGTATGCAAGTAGCAGGGGAAGTCATGACCATCACCAGACTCTTTGTAGAGAACAGGCCCTCCTGGCAGAGGCTGAAGGGAGTACTATAGGGAGAGGCCTCAAATTGCCCATGAAACCCCTGCATAGCATGGTATGTGCGTATTTCATGATTCATCAAGGATCAGGGGCCCTGACCACCCCTCTATAAGCCTCTGGAACTGAAGCTATAGGACACACAAGAAAATTTCTGATTGGGCAAGAAAGACAGCAAGGCTAGTTCTGGATAACAGACACAGGAGGAAACCCCATGAAACTGTAAGCCCCCAGCTGATGGATGATTATGGTTCTACCCTCAGCAATACTCACAGCACTTTCTGAGATGTTTCACATAACCTCAGTTAGGTCTCAGGTTTCTGTAAGCAATGGGGATGGGTGGGCGGTGACCACAAATGTGAATAACACTTTAGCAACAGTGCCTCCCCTAAATACAAGCTGAGAAAGACTGCATCTAGTGTTTCACATCGGGTCCAAGTTATCATGCACATTTCATACCTTGGCAAGACCTTCCATCCTCATTGAGGGTAAAACCAGGGTTGCACGTACAGGAATAAGATCCAGGAACATTTGCACAGAGCTGCTGGCAGTAACCATAGCGACATTCATCAATGTCTGGAAACAGAAATGCAAACAAAGTAAGACACGTCTCAATCTCACTCACCAGTGCCACCACGGGCATGGCATTAACATCACCTCTTCTGGAGTGGGATCGTGAAGGGGAACTAATGCTACGACAGTACCTACTGAGTGTGAGGAATGGTGATGCTCTCTGGATTACAAGGGTCAATCTCACTACAATCCTCCACCTCCTGACCCATCTCAGTCCCATGAACACCTGAACTTATCCTGAAAGTGGTAGAAGAAATTTCTGCTTCAAGTGGGATCTTGGACAAGACGGCCTCTCAGATTACATCCAGCTCTTAAGATTCAGCTCTAGGATTCTATATAAACTTTTCACTGACCTGGGAAGACACAAGTTAACACATAAGAAGAATCCATAACATTGTTCCAATAGGCTCCTTGCCAGCTCCATTAACAAGGAATGTGTCCAGCTGTCAGGAACGAGAGCCAGTGCAGGCCAGGACAAGCTGGGTAGCACTACAGTCTGGAGACCTATGAATCCTGTAACACAAGGATGCTGGAGTTCGGCTTGGATCTCCTCCTTGCACCAGAGCAGACATAAAACTCTGAATAAACACACCTCCTCCAAGCCAGGCTGGCCTTTCCAGGGAAAGCAGCAGTACTGTGGGTGAATGGATCCTTTCAGCGGGGCTGGGCAACATGACCTCCCTGGAGCATGTATCGCTCAACGGGGAGCCTGATGTCATTGGGAAAGCACTTCTCAACACCACAAGTTGATGGGTTGATGGGCTGGAGAATTTACTGCTGTGGGGTAGGGTGTCTTGAATGAAATCAACAGCTTCCAGGTGGAGACACAGTCCTCACCTATACAGCTCCTGCTGTGACCAGTTGATCTCACTGCAGCTGTAACTGGTCCTTATCTCACCCCCACCTCCCCCTAAACTAACCAAATTTCCTCCCTGGTACCACAGCACCTTTGGAACTGCAGTCCATCCGGGGCTCTGTGAGTCAGCTTAGAACCTCAGTCCCTATGTCTCTACTACCTGCTGCCAGAAAGGACTCCATCTCCCTGACCCATCTTGATCCCTTACCTATTGTTCAGCCCTCCTCAGATTTTGTGCCCTGCCCTGCTGAGTCTGTTTTATCTCTGAGTCCCAGCTACTTCTAACCTGGTCCACCCTCACTGTCCCCTAAGTACTGGGCAGCTCCCGACTGGAGAGCCAAATGGCTTGCACAGTTTCTGGTCCTGACCTCTTCCCAGGGTGCACTTGGGCACAATGCCAAGGCCCAGGGAAGCAGCAGAGGCTGGAGAGGGTACCCTTTGCCTAGGGGTACCTTGGAGAAAAGGCAGTCCCCTGCCCCTCATTTTCTGCAAAAACAATGCCTCCAAAGGTGCAAAAGGGAGTGGTGGGGGGCTATGGAACTTCCATCTTGCAAGAGAAAGAAGAGTTTGGCTGGGGGAAGGCATGAGTTTGGCCACAGTCAGGAAAGGCCTTCACTTCAGTTGTGAAGTGTGAGAAGAGGGCTGTGCCAAGTGCACCACGTTAGGCCCCCACGAGCATCCCTCCCAAAGCTGCAGCTCTACAGAAAAGAACAACCCTCCCAGGTAGGGGATTAGGTCAGGTCGGGAGGGGTTTCCTGGCCCTAGGGTCTCTATAATGGGGCCGGTGTATCCTGATCTCCTCTGCCTCCCTAGCGCCCCTTGCCATGGAAAAAAACAGGCCCGAGAGGCAGGAAACTTGGATGTTAGACCCAACTCACTTTAACTTTGTCTAAAATATTCCTCCTCTTTGAGTCTGTCTCCAACTCTGTAAAAGTTGGATTATACAATATCTAACATCCTTTCCAACTCTAAAATTCTATATATTAAGTTCCTGTACAAATAACTCTATCTCACTGATCTGCTTATGTTCAAATCAGTAGCATCAAATTTTCCATTATAGCAGAGGTTGATTTCAATGCACAGCGACTGTCATGTTCACAAATGCCAGTGTGCACCTAGCTCTGTGGTGTATGCCTGCAAAGGGAACCAAGCCAAGTCCAGGCTGGCTTATCAAGCCCCAAGGACGCTTTAGACAGGGCTTAAGAACAGACCCAAACTCAGACTCAATCAAGAGAGATTTGGAAAGAAGCACCTGCTTTTTTTTATTCTATGATGTTGTTTGGATCTATTTCTCAGCTCTTCCAGGACTGACTTTCAGGCAAAAGGATAATGTCTTAGAGAATTTAAACTGGCAGGACATTTCCAAGAAAACAGCATAGAAATCACACCCTAGCAATAGAAATTGAGGTGACAGATAGAGACTGCTATGAATTCATTCACTTGGCTAAACCCAAAACTAAAGGAGAAGAAAGCAAAATAACCCTCCAGTAAAAATAAAGAGAGATCATATAGCAGATGCCAACTGCAAGGAACAAAATTCTCAATTGGTGACGACTGGCTCCTTAGGAGTAATAAGAAATTCCACAGCTCGTGGGGTGGGTGTGGTTGGAGGCGGGGTGATGATGGCGTGATGGGAGGAGATGATGTTAGATCAGAATGTACTGATCCCCACTTGAGACTTGGAACATTTCTGTGACTAAGCCAAAGTGTTCCTTAGTATTATTTCTAACTAGGGCAGAATAACCCTCATCTCTACCACTTCCTGGCTTAGATATAAACTTCATGAAGGCAGGAAGAGGCCTAGGTAAAATCAAACAAGCCCTTAAAGATACTGTAATGATGACACATAATATAATAATGACATAAAATGATGATAGTGATGATGAACACTGATTTTTAAGGGTGTGATACATGTAAACTCAATAGCCGTCTACCCCTCTCTCCCCCCAACAAAGAAGAGCTTATCACTCTTAGGGCTGCCAGCTATGCTCACATCTCTCAATACCCCTTGCAACCATTAACTTCTAAGAGTCCCTGTGAACCCCAGGAGCTGTTACCTAAGCACTGGCCTTCCAGAAGCCAATACCCTTCGGTGCAGGAGCAGGTGTACCCTCCTTCCGTGTTGATGCAGATCTGGGTAGGGTTGCACTGGTGGGAGTCTGTTGCACACTCGTCCACATCTGTAACAGAGACATATTCCACAGAATGTCACTTACGTCTATCTAGAGCCCTGGAGCCACCAGAGGTACCAGCTGCTGGATTACACCCAAGGAGATGGCTCTGCCTCCCTAACAGGCACCTCTAGGAGACATTGACCTCTAACTGGAGGTCGAATTGGAAGTAATTCTGCTCCCCCAGAAATCTACAAAGGGAAATGGCCAAGAAGGGAACACATATCCTGCAGCACTCTTCTGCCATCCTATGCCATCGTGCTTGAAAGTATGTCACCTTCACAATAACCACTACTTGATTAGAAAGGCATTTGTATTAGGCTTATTCATTCATGTGTTAAATAGGGGTCTGCTGCGCACCTACTGTGTGCATAGGACTATGATAAACACCGGCTGAGAACACAACAGGGTAAAAGAAATGTTCCCTGACAACAGGAGCTGTAGTCTAGTGACTTGATTGTATTCATCCATGAAAGCCTTTTGGCCTAGGGCTCCTGCCCCTTCCCAGGGCCTTCCCATCTTCCCTCCACTCCAGAGCTCCTGGGGCTAAGCCCTCTGCTCCTATTGGGTCTCTCTACGGTGCTACGAAGCCCATCACCGTCTGTCTAGTGGAGTGAATGTACTACTTAATAAGGAGCTTCAGAACACAGAGATCAAGCTGTATCCATGGTTGCATTTCCCAAGGTGTCTGGTGCAGGTGTTGTACAGTCGGTGCTCAAAACTTTATTTAAACTGAAACATCCTTCTTCCGGTTCTCCTCACACTGCTCTTTAGGAGCGAACACCCGGTGTCCTGAAACGGGACCCCTCCCCCCAATGTCATGCTCTCACTTTGACCTGAAGAAGGAGATTTTTCAGTAAATATTCATGTGTTAATTCACTCTACAAGGATCCACTGAGCACCATGGATCTGCTTGGCCTACGCCAGTGCCTTTCCCCCTTGTGGGTCCTACCCTCACCTGCCTGCACCTTAGCAGGGCACCTTCCTTTGTCCTTCAGTCCTGCCATCAGGTCTGCTCATCCACACCTTATCCCCACCTCCACCAAATGGACCATCATGCAGTGGGAAACAATATTAAAGGTGCAATTCACTGAGCCTGTGTTCTGTGCCTGACACCTCACTTGGTACCGTATTTACTCTGGGATCACCCTGGGAGGGGGGCTCATGATCTCTGCTTTACAGATGGAAAAACTAAGCTGGAGGAGCTCAGAAACACCAAACCAAGAGCTGAGCCCAGGCCTCCCTGCCTGCTTGACTCCAAGTCCTCTCTGTGCAGGAATGACAGAGGTCACATCATAGGACCAAGCAGGTTCAGGAGAGGTCTAGCAGACCGGGCAGAGGAGAGAGGACTGACCTTCCCTACCTTTCACCTACCCCACCTCACAAATGATCTGCCTCCTGATATTGCAGATTGCAGACTGTATAATCATTCCTTCAGATGACCTCTTTAATATGTATGGTGAGGGTGAGGGGTGTCTAGGGCCCAAAAGTGTAAGCTGCTGGAAGACAAGGGCCTCATGCAGTATAGGGCTTTGCATGCTGCTCGCTCAGAAAGCTAGCACAATCAATTGTGAAATACTCAAGTTCAAGTGACAACACCTCAACCCACCACCCACCTGCAACAACAACACACATGGCACCGATCAATCTCCACCCCACCCCAAAATGACCAGGTATCTGTACATCACGTGGACCCAGCTTTCACTTCTCTAAACATGGATAGCCTCCAAACACCTGGTTCCAAGGTGTTGCAGCTGCCATCCCACCCTGATGTGTTGACTATGTGTAGCCTCAGTGGCAAAGACCCAGCCCTGTTCTCAGCTGCAATAACACCCGCCTCTGCCCTCCACCTCCCTTCTACCCCAGCTCTGCCCACCGAACAAAGCCTCCCAGGGGAGCTGGCGAATAACGCTTGGCCAGCAGCTGCTCCTGCTCAAATCCATATTGAAGCTTATGACAATAAATAATGCTACTATCAGCCAATGCATATTTACATTTTCCCAGCAGGGAGTGATGGATGGCAATTGTACCCTGGGAACAGCATGGCCTTAGGAATTTCTGCTCTTTTTCCTGCCTTCAGGGGAACGAAGGGTAAGGGAGAAAAACCGCTGGAGAACCTTGGTGATAGCAAGTTCCTAAGTCTCTGTGCTTGTGTAACTTATGGCACACACGATGTGCCCACAGAGTCCTGCAGAGAGAACAAAGACACGCGCACATGGACCAGACTGGCTCACAAGGGCACACAAGACCTAAATGTGCACAAGTGTGGATGCGCACACACGTGCACACGAGCATGCACAAAGTATCCAGGCCTAGAAACAAAATCTTCAAAGTCCATTTTTTAAAAAACTCCACCACTTTTAGGGCACACAAGACCTAAATGTGCACAAGTGTGGATGCGCACACACGTGCACACGAGCATGCGCAAAGTATCCAGGCCTAGAAACAAAATCTTCAAAGTCCATTTTTTAAAAAACTCCACCACTTTCATGGAACTAAGAATTAATTCAGTTACACTCCATTTCTCTTGATATATGTTTAAAAAATTAAATTTTTAACTTTTGCTAACTCATTTGATGGATTGCCAATATAAGGTATATTTTGACAACTCAATAAGTCACTGGAGTTGGGGGTGGGGACAGGACTCTCCTCTTTATATTCTCAAAATACACAAAATACATCTTCCTGGTATAAGCTGTGTCCATCCAATAACTACTGAATAAATGCACAACAAACATTAATGCCTTTAAGCCCCCAGACAGGTCTTTCCTGCCAACTTGCTGAAAAGCTCATTCTGGTGTGTGCACTTTAAAACCACTACCACCACCCAAACCACTGTCAGCTTACACACCTGGTGGAGCTAAAACTGGAACGTTCACACTGCGGGTTTCAAATGCACAACAAACATTAATGCCTTTAAGCCCCCAGACAGGTCTTTCCTGCCAACTTGCTGAAAAGCTCATTCTGGTGTGTGCACTTTAAAACCACTACCACCACCCAAACCACTGTCAGCTTACACACCTGGTGGAGCTAAAACTGGAAACGTTCACACTGCGGGTTTCCACACAGGGCTGAGACTCATCACACATTCCAGCTCTCGGCTGAATTGCTTACATTAAATACATTTGACTTAAATAACAGAAGGAAAAACATATCGAACCACTCCAAGGACATTCTTTGGCAGGGCCTCCTTTTCTGCATCAGTGGAAAAGTACAAGCTGCAGCAACCTGAGCAAGTGTCATTACCCTCGTGCACAAACCATGCCCGTTGTTTTGTTTCCTTTCCTGTGTGACAGGAAGTATCATAAGAGAAAAGAGTGCTGGATGCATTCGATCATTTATTCATTCATTTCCTCACTCATTCATCCATCCTTTGTGCTCTACAGCAACCGTGTGTGTGTGTGTGCGTGTGTGTCTGTCCTCCCAAATCTCCGGGCCCTTTGGGAGAGCTGGCATCAAGTGAAGTCCCTTCCAGAAGCAGACTTTACCGAGAGTCCTTCTGCCGGATCCCTGATCTCTCCTGGGAGCAGTAGTCCTGGTCAGCTGCCTGGGCACTGGGGGAATTCCACCACAGCAGCTATGGTTTGTTTTCTACCCAGGTGGGGCAATGTCTATCCACTGTCCAGGTGACCAGTACCCTGGCAACTGGAGGAAAGCACTCACTGACTTTTCCAGAACCTGGAAAAGCCCAGCGTTATGCCTGCCCAGGAAGAAATCACCATCTGTGTCTAGCAGCATAGCTCTGATGACCTGTCTACTTTATCTACTGTCACTCCTCCCTTCCAACATTCCCAGAGTGGCCTTCGAAATCTGAAACTACAACTGCTCTCTTAGGAAACTCATCAAAACCAGTCAACATTATCTCCTGGATGCCTTCCAAGGATGCCACAGGCAGAAGTGGGCTCCCAGACCTCAGCACAGTGGATCACCCGTGAAGGATAATTCATTTGGGATTTTTATATCCCTAGTTATGTCTCATGTCCCCAGCCAGACAGTAAGCTTTGCGGGGGCAGGACTGCTAGGACAGTGTGAATAAAGGAATATCTTTCAGACAGGTGTGCTAAAGGAATAAAGGAAAGTCTTTCAAGTCCAGCCAAGATCTCACAGAGGCGCCAGATGGAGAACCTGGCCTCAAGACATCAAAATACAACTGTCCAACAATCCTGCAGACAACAAAATGAACAGAATCTTCCATTCTGACTGAAAGGACATCACAGGAAGGGGCCGGAGCCCACAAAGCTACCGAAGGTTTCAGCCCTTGGAGCAAGAGTCTGCACTGGAAGCTAGTGGTGACTGGCAACCCCCTCTCTTTTTGTCAAAGGGGGTTGTTGAAGGTCTGGGACATCACAGGAAGGGGCCGGAGCCCACAAAGCTACCGAAGGTTTCAGCCCTTGGAGCAAGTCTGCAGTGGAAGCTAGTGGTGACTGGCAACCCCCTCTCTTTTTGTCAAAGGGGGTTGTTGAAGGTCTCCATGGGTACTGTGCTGTTGACTGATGCACATCTTATGTCCCCATCTTAGAAGTGGCCGGTTTTCAGAAAACATCATACAAACCCACTTTTCTGTCCCATATAAAACTAATGGTTCCGAGAATGGTCTTAATGTTGATTCACAGGTTATTATACAAAAATCTCTATAGGAAAGCATAACATACTTAATATACTTCCATAAATATGTTCAAATATAAATAACGTGCATGTGTGTGCCAGCTATTTGTTATATTTGAATCTATATATTATATACATATATGCATTTACATTTAAGCATCTATTTCTGAAAATGAAAGAGAAAATACTTAGACTATTTTCATTATACAAATTCTACCTGAAATAAAATATCCTTCACAACTGTACAGAACAAAACACTAATGGTTCCCCCACATCCATTGGGAGATCATTTTCTAGACCATTCTCCCAGCACCTAGGTTTAAGAGGAAAAAAAAGACCAAAGGACTGAGGCCTTCCCAGAGGAGGCTAGTAGGTAAAAGAGTAAGAATTTTGGGAGCAGACAG